AAAAGTAATTAGTTATCTGTTAACCTTGACTTCATGCTGGCACCAGTATTATCAGATGATGAACATACTCTTCGAAAACTTACAGCAGAAATATCGTGTTTGGACTCATTAGATAGGTCTCGATGAATAGAGTTTAAAAAACTTAAAATAAATGGTAAATTAGAAATAATGTATAAATACCCCTTACGTAAAATTCAACCACTTTAAACTTAATAATAATAATAATTAGGAAAAGAGAAAAGCTATACATGTACTGAAAGTAATTGATGTCTTCCACACAATATTTTCACTATTAAATAACTCTGTTTGTTCAGTAAAAGTGTAAATACACTGGTAACCTTTAATCATATTTTATATGCAAACATTACATATACAAACCCTAAAGTTTTATTTCAGAATAGCCAGTAGTTTTGAAGAAATAAGTCTTTGAAATTGTACGTGTAACTTATATATATACTAGTTTTTTCACCATAACAAACAACACCAATATGGCCTAGTTAGTAGTTTACCTGTGTACCAATTAATAATAATAGTAATCTCAGGACAATTCACACAGCTTCATCTAGACCCAAGTTAAGCTAGCTGAAGATTATGTTATGGGTACTAGACAACTGATATAAATACAAAGATTTTTTTTCGTAAATACATATATATTATCTATACATAGAAAACACCCAGACCGTTACAAACAATCATACTCATGAATACAAATGTTTGCAGCGTGCGAGGAATCGAACCCTCGACCACCAAGCAGGAATCAAAGCAGTGTGCTAGCTAAATCGCTAGACTACCGACAACTAGCTGTACCGCGTGGAATTTAACTTCTTATATTTTAGAAAAATAAAGTTAAATTCCACACGGACGAAATCCCGTGTACAGCTAGTCATCAATAAAAAAACACGTAGGTATCTCTAATATATTATACAGTAGCTGTTCCCGCGACTTCGTCCACGTGGTTTTTAACTTTATTTTTCTAAAATAAAAGTAGCCTAAGTTACTAGGTAGTAGCCTTATTACATCAGCTACCTGCCAAAAAAAGTCCCGTCAAAATCGGTCCAGCCATTTCAGAGATTAGCCGGAACAAACAGACAGACGGACAAAAATTGTAAAATATGTTATTTTGGTGTATGTACCGTATTTATATTCATATGCAAGTAGTAAAAAACGGTTATTTCAATATTACAAACAACAGGCTTCAACATTCTCAAGTACCACAAAAAAGATGTTTTTATTAAAAACAAGCTGTTCCCGCGACTTCGTCCGCGTGGAATTAAACTTTATTTTTCTAAAATAAAAGTAACCTAAGTTACTCCTTATAAATCAGCTACCTGCCAAAAAGAAGTACCGTCAAAATCGGTCCAGCCATTTCAGAGATTAGCCGGAACAAACAGACCGACAGACAGACAGACTAAAATTATAAAAATTGTTATTTTGGTATATGTACCTTATATATATTCATATGCATGTAGTAAAAAACGGTTATTTCAATATTACAAACAGACACTCCAATTTTATTTGTATGTATAGATGTATAGATTATTATTTATTTATTTATTTATTCATCCAAAATAATACAAATTGTGTAGGATAACGTAATAGTAACATTACAGTAAAATTTTGTCAACAACATAATAGCAACTTAAATATTAAATCTCGGTATATCTATAGACTAGTTGGCCCCAGCGACTTCGTCCGCGTGAAATTTTATTTTATTTTTCTAAAATAACAGTAGCGTAAGTTACTCCTTATTACATCAGCTACTTGCCAAAAAAAGTCCCGTCAAAATCGGTCCAGCTATTTCAGAGATTAGCCGGAACAAACAGACAGACAGACAGACAAAACTTGTAAAATATGTTATTTTGGTGTATGTACCGGATTTATATTCATATGCAAGTAGTAAAAACGGTTATTTCAATATTACAAACAGACACTCCAATTTTATTTACATGTATAGATGTATAGATTAAAAAAAAAGTAACAGTCATAAGGCTAGTCGTATGCCTAATATATATAATAATGTAATAAATTCATTTAAACAGAAATTGCGGGAATATTATTTAAATTTGTAACTTTTTTACTGTCCTTCTCCTTTTTTAACATCTTTCTGTTATATCCCTATAGTTCTCTCTATATTTTCTGTTTTTCTTACTTTCAATTTGAGACTGTACTTATAATTTGATTATCGGGTCATTATGTATTTATTTATACATTTATGGGTTATATATTTATGTATGTATATTGTTATTTTTTTATAGAAATGTATATTTTGCTTTGTATTTATATATCTTTTTTTGACATTTCTTATTTATATTAGTGCACCGCCAATAATCTTTCGCTGCACCACTCATGGTTGCCTGGTAAATAACGCGGCAAGATATTAAGTCCGCCACATGTACAAATTTTTTTGTGCATTAAAGTTAAATAAATAAAAAAAATACAATACTGTTTAATGAAAATGCGTATTGTCTAGTGCTTTGAGATGTATCAAAATAAGGTCAACAAAAAAGTCCGTGATGGTATATGTCTATCTCTCAAGGATAACCAACAATAACCATTTTTTATCTTTTACATTTTACGGGAATTTTTTTTATCGTATGTTTCCCTTAAAATCATGTAAACTATGCTATTATGTCATAATCTAAAGAAATAATAATATTTTATAGTGAAATATCCACTATAAAATAGTAATGTAAGTAGCAATGTAATTCGTTACGCGCGAATCAGCTGTTATAAGGTCAAAGGTCGGTGCACCCCGCGTATTTGATAAATAGTGCTTCTCTGGATGTCTTTAAGAGAAAATGGCAGTATGTACGTGTATATGTACAAGTCCTTAAGTGTTAAGTTTTTCAAATGTACAATAAAGAATAAATATTTTTAAGTACAGTACTTACGTACATTAATATAATACCTACTTTTTACTTGTATCTATTGTCATCAAAATTAAATTATAAGTTCTTAACTTGACCACGACTATGTGACCCTCTCTTGGCGCCAAAACGAGTGAAAAAATGAACAGCATACGACGACGACGCATACCTATAGAGTGGAGCAACTGCTTATTCAGTTTTATTCAACTATTTAGTCCCTCCACCGTTACAATGAATGGAGGCGGATATTACAATGTATGTAGCATTGCGAATATAAAATATCTAGATTAGGTATAATAAATTCATAATTGATAGACCGTTACGGTATCAGAGCCAAAAAGTCTTCTTTCTTTATTTATGTACTGTTAGATGCGACATCGACTTTGTTTTATACTACACTATGTAATGATTGATATACCTATGTAAAATAAATAAAATATCTGAGGTTTGGACAAAAATTCAAAAGGTACTTTATTTTGAAAAAGTATTTTGAAAATACCTATTTTGCATTTAGTATTTGAAATACAAAACTATTTTTGTTTTTAGAGTGACATTTCTATGAATTCACTGTCGATAGCGAGCGGTGCGATGGAAAAAGATAACCGTTTATAAAAATATAATAAATAGCGCTGGACAATTAACACAGACTGATACTGAACTGATATAAATAGATATTTTTATCTTGTAAATACATATATAATATACATATAAAACACCCAGACCGATGAAATCAATCGATGACCGATGAGTACATATGTTTGCACCGTGCGAGAAATCGAACCCGCGACCATCGGATGTAAAGCGGTGTGACCACCGAGGCAGTCGAAATACATAAATAATCTTATGAATTTAATTTATTCTAATTTGTTTGTGTGCGCGGGGTGCGGTGTACGGTGCTCCCCCCTGCCTCCACCGTTGCTGGAGCTTGCATGTATGGAGCATTGCGAATATAAAATATCTAGATTAGTAAATTAATAAATTCATAATTGATAGACCGTTACGGTATCTATATATATTCGGATTAAAATAAGTATCGCAGTAAGGACCAGTATATAAAGTGATCAACACAATTAATTGATTTTTGAAATATATATACGGAGCCAAAAAGTCTTTGTGTATTCAAAAAATATCTAATTTGTTTGTGTGCGCGGGGTGCGGTGTACGGTGCTCCCCCCTGCAACGGTGGAGTTACTATGTATAGAGCATTGCGAATATAAAATATCTACATTAGTAAATTAATAAATTCATAATTGATAGACCGTTACGGTATCTATATATATTCGGATGAAAATAAGTATCGCAGTAAGGACGAGTATATAAAGTGATCAACATAATTAATTGATTTTTGAAATATATTCAGAGCCAAAAAGTCTTTGTGTATACCAAAAATTTAGCCGTTCGGAGCCAGTCATGCACGAATTATTAGTAAAAAATGTGTCGAGTATATCGTACTATCGACGAATATATATGGCCACATCGCAAAATAGAATGCGACGTTGCCACCCCGCCTGAGATATACGCGATAGGAGTCAAGTTATTCAGTGCAAAAGGTGGAATCGGCAAGTGTTTAGGTTGTGGCGTGATCAACAAAGTGCCCAAAGAGGTGTTTATATATATATATATATATATATATATATATATATATATATATATATATAGTTTTTTTATATCATTGTAATGACAGACAATTCGACGGTTCACCAGATGCTAAATAATAACGGTCAAACGACATATGTACATACATATCTATACATATACATCACGCTTGTCTCCTATTGGGATAGGCAGAGTCTATGGAACCCCAAAAAGTTCCAATTCACGTTAAACACAATAATTTAAACAACGTTATTTAGTCTCAAACTGAGCAGAACTTGTGTTATGGGTACTGGACAACTGATATAAAACATGGATACATTTTCTTTTTTGTAAATTACTAACCAACATATTGAAACCACCCAGACCGATACAAATGATCATATTCATGATACAAATGTTTGGTCCGTGCGAGGAATCGAACCCGCGACCATCGAAAGTAAGGCGGTGTGCTAAGCCGCTAACCTAGGCTGTCATATAATAAACTATCAGACTGTCCATTTCTTTTACCACTGCAAACTTTTTTGAAACTGCAATTACCTGTATACTCAAGTCTTCGACGCTCAAGCTCGGCGTGTTAAGCTGTAAAGCGCTACCAAGCTGTAGTTCCCCAGTGAACGAGAGCTCCAGAGTATTGAGATGCTCTGATGACGGACTGGGCACGTAACGTGTTGACACCACGCTTGCTGAACCTGGCAGGTTTAACTTCATATCAAATTTAAACTTACACTCCAATATGCCCCCTCCGATCCATGCCCCGTCCAATTCAAAAGAAAAAATTATGACCACCTTAGTTGAGGTTCGAACCTCTAGCGGTGCCCTCAGACTAAAGTCGTATCCGTCAGGCGGGAGTTGACCTTTAGTCGCTCCATAAGTCCTTCCGCGTGTTTGGAATGCCATTTACACTCGCCCTCTATCGTTCGGTGAAGCTGTAAAGGCCAGCTGCGGCTAACATCATTATAGTAATCCGGTTTCAGAAAAACTCTTATATGCGTTTGCCAAAGATTGCACCCAACATGGCTCCTACGTGTGCTTACAATGATGACCGTGGCGATGATGGCTTCGTCATAGTACAGAAGTGGCACATAAAGAGGACCAAACGGAACCACTGTGGCACTCACTGGGCCCAACTTCCTGCTGCATGCTGCTACACCGACCACGGCGATGTACCAGTCCCGCCTACACTACGCCACTAAGGAGGACATTGTCGACTACATACGGACCACGGACCTGACATTGAGAGTGACGCAGCTGGAGTCGAGTCACAACGCGAGTTTCAAGGCATTTGTGGCCCGGTTTTACCAGAATGCTGCCACTTTGATGCCCCACTAACATGCTACCAACTTCATAAAGGGAGGACTACTGGCTGAAAGGGATGTATCGGCGATACCGTGGGAAATTGCCGTTGTCAGTGCCGTGACCATAGAGATATTTTAAATTTTACATATGTATGTTAGACTGTAAATAATGTTTTCAGATCTAGACAGATTTATTTGTAATTTGCTGGAATTTCGTAGGTATATGTAACAGTAGACTATTAGCAATACTTGAATAAATTATTTACAATTCTATATATGTGTGTAATGTTCGGTAAAGCTCGCTTAGTATGATGTAAATAAATAAATAAAATTCTCGTGTTATAGTTAGTTGCCATACTTCTCCGAAACTGGTTAACCGGTTTTGATAAATTTTATAAGTAAACTAGGGGGGTAAGTATTTTTTTACTGGGACAAAATACCTCAAGGTTAAGTCGGTTATGTGCACCTTTATTGATGTATCTGTGTATTATAGTTTTAAGAAATAAATAACTAGGACACTTACTGATATTCCTCTTATGACGTTTGTCGGTCTGCCTGTCATCCAAACAGACAAAATGTGGACGTTTATCCAGCAATGCCTTCCTGAAGTCGCCAGTGGCATGGGACAGCAACACAGTGAGACACTCCATCACGGTGTTTTGTGTGTTATGTTCCGAACATTGTTCTATGTAGTGTACACACAGTTGGTATAGCTGGAATACATACATTAAGTTTTTACTACGTTGGTACGTACGTACAAGCATACGGCTTATCTGATTGTAAACAATTACCATAGCCTATATATGTCTGAAACACTAGGTATTACGTGCGAGTTTTCGACCATTAAGTAATCTTAAAATACCCTTCTTAAAAAACCCTATGCTGTAATCTCTCAACAAAACCTCGGCAGGTAGTTCATTCCACAATGGAAGTGTACGCGAGAGGAAGGTCCTCTGAAACCGCAATGTCCGAGACAACTTAGGTTCCAGCGTGTGGGGATGAATTCCTTGTCGATGGCGACTCATGCGATAATTAATCATTTGCACAAATTATTAACAAAATTAAATCTACTAAAATGAATAAAATGACCACAGTTGTGTTATTTTTTGGTAATAGTATTAAATTAAATAGACAGGATATAATTAAAGGTATTCAATATTTGTTACAATTGAATGTATATAAGATTGTATTGTGCGCTCTTCCTTATACAAGTAGCCATTATTATAAAAAAATTAACAATAAGGTACATTACCTTAATAATTTATTACATACATTGACATGTCGTCATAGTGACGTTTTTACATTTTTTGACACTAATAGTTTTATTAGTGATTTTTATTTGACAAAAGATACAATGTATCTTTCTAAATCTTCTAAGAATAAAATAGCCACTTTAGTGGCTTATAATATTGACTTCATGAACAGTTTACATGGTAAACTTCAATATAAAAATTGTGACATAACAAATGATTCTATTAATTTTTGTTTAAATAGTGATATAAGTAATTTGACTGCAGATTTAAACTGCTAACAAAGACAAAGGGAAAGCAATTAGAATTGGTAATTGTTCATCAGAACATACAAAGTTTTCCCGGCAGTGAATTAATTATACAATTATTTTTGGAAAAATACAATATTGACATTATCTGTTTCACTGAACATTGGCTTAAAGAAAGCAATATGATGTTCAGTTTAAATAATTATAATGTTGTCAGCTGCTTCTATAGAAAGTCAGTTAACAGAGGTGGGTCTATGATAATTGCAAGAAATAATATTAAAGTAAAGGAACGTGCTGACATTGTTAGACTTTCTATTGAGTGTTGTACAGAAATCTCATGTATAGAACTAGATAATTATATACTTATATGTGTTTATAGGCCTCCTAATAGTGATTATAATGTATTTGAAGAGGTGATGGAGGATATATTAAAAAAAGTATTTAATAGCAGTAAAAAAATCATAGTGTGTGATGATTTTAACGTTGATATTCTTTGTGATACACCCACATGTACAAAAATTATTAGTTTATTTCAGTCTTTTAATTTGAGTAATGTCTTTCAGGAACCCACTCGTGTAACCGCTACGACTGCTACTTGTCTTGACAATGTTTTTTGTAACTGTGAGTATATTGAAAAATTAATAATAAATAAACTTCCTTCGGATCACTGTGGTCAAGTTGTTAAGTTTAGTAATCAGACTAAAAAAAATACCAATAATAAAAGATCAAAAAGACAAATAAATGCTTACAATATTAATAAATACAAAAGCACGGTTAAATATAAATTAGACTTAGAGTTACAATCTGTCAGTCTTAATAATCCTGATATTCTTTACACTAAGTTAATTAGTCTTTTGTCAAAAGAATACCAGAATATTTTCAAGAAAAGAGAATATTGTGTTAAATCTAAATTTACAGAATGGGCAACAGTAGGAATACTTAAAAGTAGAAACATTTTATTTGATTTATATGATCAAAAAATATATAGATTTGATGACAAATTTACAACTTATGTGAGAAATTACTCCAAAATTTTCAAACAAGTTTGTATTGCAGCTAAATCTAATTTTATAAATAAACAAATTAATCAGTCCTCTGACAAAATTAAGACCATCTGGGGAATTATAAACAAAGAAACTGGACGGTCTGAAAAAGTCTGCAATCAATTCTCATTAAATTATGACAATAAGTTAATAACAGCAACAAAAGATATAGTTCATATTTTTCAAGATTTTTTTGCTAATATTCCGATTGATATTACATCTTCTCTAGACTCATCTCCAATTCGAGCAAAAACATTACTGGAGGCTAATGTCAGCCCTTGCTCTTTAACATTTAAATTTTCACATGTCAGCCCTTTTCATGTCATAAAAATATTCAAACAGTTAAATTTAAAAAATACGGAAGATCTCTGGGACATGTCAGTTAAAGTAGTTAGTTCATTCATAGATATTGTTGCTCCTTATCTAGCTACTATTTTCAATAAATGTGTTGATAATGGCGTGTTTCCTCAATTAATGAAATTTAGCAAATTAATTCCACTCTTTAAATCTGGAGATAGATTTGAGCTAGGCAACTATAGACCAATTTCTATTTTGCCAGTTCTAAGTAAAGTATTTGAAAAGATTATGTTTAACCAAATGTTAAAATACTTCAGGGATAACGGACTGCTTCACAGTCAGCAATATGGTTTCACTGCCGGCAAGTCTACTACTGATGCAGGTGTAGCGCTTATTACACATATATTCGAATCATGGGAAAACTCACAGGATGCTCTCGGCGTTTTTTGTGACTTGTCGAAGGCGTTTGATTGCGTAGATCATGAAACACTTTTGTACAAGCTCAAATATTATGGTATTAGAGATAATGACCTAAGTCTAATGAAAACATATCTAGAGGATAGGGTGCAAACTGTAGATATTGATGGTGTAAAGTCAAGGGAACTAATATAAAAATGGGCGTTCCTCAAGGTTCAATATTAGGCCCATTTCTCTTTTTAATTTATATAAATGACCTTCCCTACATGGTAGAGAAAGTTGCAGATATAGTGTTATTTGCGGATGATACTTCGTTAGTGTTTAAAATTGGTCGCCAATGTAATCAATTAGACGATGTAAATTATGCTATCTCTGCTATACTAAATTGGTTCACATGTAATAATCTATTATTGAACTCCAACAAAACTAAATGCATTAAATTCACGCTGCCTAATGTAAAACAAGTAAATACGCAGCTATTGCTTAATGATGAAATAGTAAATTTTGTTAATGATACAGTTTTTTTAGGAATAACAGTAGACTCGAAATTACAATGGGGGCCCCATATTTCAAAATTGGCCAGTAGACTCAGTTCTGCTGCATATGCAATTAGAAGAATTAGGCAATTAACAGACGTGGCGACGGCTAAACTTGTATATTTTAGTTATTTCCATAGCATAATGTCTTACGGCATACTGCTGTGGGGTAAAGCAGCCGATATAAATACTATATTTGTTTTACAAAAGAGACCCATACGTTCTATTTATGGTATGGGTTCAAGAGAGTCATTACGTCAGTGCTTTAAAGACTCAAATATCCTCACAGTTACTTCACAATACATTTATGAAAATATTATGTATACACGGAAGAACTTAGAGAGTTTTAAAAAACTCAAAGACTGTACAAGTAGAAACTTACGCAATATAAATAAGCTTATTTTACCTAAATGCCGTCTGCACAAAATCAGTAATTCATTCTATGGTAATTGCATAAGATTTTATAATAAACTGCCAGAATCTGCATTAAATCTGACAGAGAGGCAATTCAAATCTTATATTAAACAATTTTTATGTAAGAAAGCCTATTACAGGATAGACGAATTCATAGATGACAACATATCAAGTAAATAATTAGTTTATTAGCGTACAACGTTATAATTTTATTTTCTCATTGCTTTCTTGATTTAATTGATTGATTTTAGAAATATGAAAGCGTAGCGGTTTTTGTATTAATTGCCGCATGCATTCTTATGTAAAATGTGAATACTATAACTATCAGATGGCAATTGTGAGTAGCTTTGACGTGGTCTAGTGTTTTGAGTAGTCATGCTCACTAAAATGTCCAGACTTGTGGCGGCGTGGTGGGCCGGGTCAATGGGCTCCCTAAAATATGGTCGAGCGCAGTGATGGCTGGCTCATCCGTCATACTCGTGAACGAGTGCTGCTTGTAGGGACTGGTCTGCTCTTATCACTACGACTGATTTAATCTTATTGCAAGATTATATTTGACCCAAAAAATTAGTGCTTGTTGGTAGTTTGTATTCACACGTTTCGACTTGTAAATGTAAACTTACAAGGATTATTTAAAAGAGCAACACACAAGTTTCTTGCTCGTTCTTCTTGTGATGAGACAGCTTTCCGAACGAGTGGTAGATAAAAAACAAATTGTTATGACTATTCAAAAGTGCTTAAATTAAGTTTATTTGAATAAATTATTTTCTATTCTATTCTATTCTATTAGATATTATTCTGGCCTCCATGCTACAACCGAGCTCTATTCAATGCCAGATAATGTCACGTTAAGAGGTGAAACACTTTCGGAATATAGATATAGAATACAGACCCTATAACGGTCGGAATTTGATCATCAATAGAGAAGGTCGTAACGCTTCCAGTAGCGGTGATCAGGTTTTCGCAGTGAATATTTGTAGTCTCACATATGCTATTGGTAGCGTAATTAAACAAAACAATATAAATCTATTGAGTAGTTAGACCATGTCCCTGAAATATGTCAGAAAGAAGTAAATAATAAATAATACTAACTTCTAAATAATCTTGCACTGTGAAGAGTTCATTTTCGTTGAATTTCGATATGTCGTTGATCTGGAAGATGGCTTTGACGACACAAAACCAACCCATTATTACTGTACTCTCTGATGATATGGGCCATAGTTTCTCTGCAAAACGAATATAATAATAAATAACCCTGGACAATTACAACAGCGCCATCTAGTCCCACGGTAAGCAGAGCTTGTGTTATGGGTACTAGACAACTGTTATAAATAGCTAGTTTTTTTTTGTAAATAGATACTTAATATACATGAATGTTTACACCGTGCGAGGAATTGAACCCGCGACGGAATTAAAGCTGTGTGCTAAACCGCTAGACCACCGAGGCCGTCTGTGTATCAAATTATTATGATTAAACTTTCATGTTTATTACACTGTATTGAATCAGGTTTAAATATCTAGATCATATATTTTTCTTATGGATGATAATGTAATGGTGCTCCCGCCAGCGCTTACGGATTACGCGGGGCGGGGCGGGGAGAATGATAAGATGAGCATGAGGTTAGGTCACTTAGTCCATCATACCATAGGTGTTTTTTTATGGATGATAATGGAATGGTGCACCCGCCTGCGCTAACGGTTTACGCTGGTAGGGCACCAGTGGAGGATGATAAGATGAGCACGAGGTCAAGTCAGTTAGTCCATCGTGACAAATTCACTAAGAATTTATCACGATGGTTTCCAGGGGGAACCGTGAGGAGGTCAACCTGACATGGTACATTGCTAGCAATAAGATCATCAGTCCATATTACTAACAATCCATTCCCCTGGAAATCTTTGTAATAAATTCACCATGAATTTATTATAAAGATTTCGAGGGGAACCACGTGGATGTCAACCTGATATAACATTACATTACATTGCACACAATGGGGTTATTAGTTCACATTACTAACAATCCCCATCCCCCTCGGTCACATTGTATTTTGAGGGTTTGTTACATTTAGTAAGTATTTGTTTATGGGAAAGATATTGTAGGTGGATCATCGTGACTTATTGTTTCATTGACACCACAACAACAACGCAAAAGAACTGCAGCACTGATGTGTAAAATTCTGGGGAGCGCAAATAGGAATCTGTTTGCGCTCCCCAACTACCCCCAAACACCACCCCCAACACCCCCCTAACTTCTATAGCATATTTGTGGCATTGTCCGCTCCAGAGGTACTGGACATCATTGCACTGCGGACCAGTGCATCTGGACGTGGACATACATATACGAATAGATATACAAGGATATATATTGTAATTTACTATCATACTTTATATGTTGGTTAGTAACAACATATACCTACATATAATATGATGTGATGAGGTGTCGCTACATAATATATTTGTTTATTGTATTATCTAGGTAGTGAGTATACCGGTGTAATAATTGTACTATTTATTGTACATTCGTAAGTTTATTTGGTAGTGTGCTACATGAGTAAAGCGTACATTCGACGCTAAGTCGTAACATCGACTTTACTGTAGCGAACTCCTTGATAGGTTTTTATACTATTTTTAAATTTTATAATAATATTCTTTGACATATTCTTTATTGTTCACTTTCTATTATATATCGCTGTCATACTAGTCGCATTTTATTCAATCCCTGTATTTTCCTCATTAAAACCCTCAGCACCTCTCACTCACCAGACACATATGATACCTCCGCTTCATTTACATTTAACTTAAATCTATGTTAGTGAAGACGTAAACTAATGGAAAGGTCTCAAGTGTTGACAAAAATGTTACAAGTGTAGGCACATCCGAAATAAATAAATAATTTAAAAAAAATATGTATATAAATTTATGTGAATAATTTATTACTCACCAAACACTTTCCCCAATATGTTAGGAAGCAAAAGTTCTTTATGCGAGCAGAGATGCGCCACACATGAGGACACCCCTCGCCGTACAGCAGGCTCTGTTGATTCCACATGGGATAATAGTGCCTTCGCTAAATCTGTAATAGAAATAATCAAATCAGAACACTTTGTAGGAAGTCGTTTGTGAGTGCAACTGTACCATATCTATTACTGCAACCAAGCGGTTTACTTTTTAACATGTTAAAGACGTATGCCCACTGGTGGGTCACTCCGCAACGAAAGTAAAACACGTTGGGACCGGGTGATCACCCTTGTTTAATGGAAATAAATCCTCATCATTGCCCTGCCTTTATCCCATTATTTGTGGTCAGCGCAGTATGTCATTCTCTTCCACTGCTCTCTATCGGTCGTCATATCTGACCATACTCTTCTTTTATTCATATCATCTTTCACACAATCCATCCATCTATTCTTAGGGCCCTTTACATCCATCCACATTCATATTATACACTTTCTATAAGACATGGTCCTCGTTCCTCCGCATATGTAGGGGTTAAATAATGTCTATCTCAAATTATTGTACACTAAAAACATATTTAAAAAATAATATACGTAATTAACAACCGATCCATAATCTATGTGAGAAATAAGATTTGTCAATGTGGTCATCAATACATTCAGCTGTGTTTGTGACGTATCACGGGTATTACGGGTATCATGATAAAGTGATGATCTGTTCATGTATTTAAGTAACGGTTACTGCTTACCACCAGGTGGGCTGCCATTCTAATGACATAAAAAATCTTGATTTTTTTACTCGCGACTTCGTCCACATGGAAATTAACTTTATTTTTTCTGAAATAAAATCATCAAAATCGATCCAGCCATTTCAGTGATTAGCCGGAACAAACAGACAGACAGGCAAAAATTGTAAAAATGTTATTTTGGTGTATGTACCCTATTTATATTGTAAATAACCATTGTGTTTGGTAAATAACTATTTTTACTACATGCATATGGCATGTAGTAAAAATGGTTATTTCAATATTACAAACAGACACTCCAATCTTATTTATATGTATAAATATAAAATATACCAGATATTTCTTCATCCGTCGTGTATTCAGCCAATGCAGTCAAAATACGAGGTAAATTGTTCTCTAACGCCTCCACAATGAGCTGTATCTCGCTTGTCTGCCGTACAATAAGACTCAACTTGGGGATCAGTGTTTGAGCTTGTGACCGTATCTTGCCCGTGCCAGGGCGCAGCCAGGAGTCGCCGAGGCATATACGAGTTAATGCTGATCGGATCCATCTGTGACAAAATATAGATTAAAATTCATTATTAACAAATAACTTTAAATAAGGTGTTAGATGATTTTTGTTTGTGCCTAAGCATATACATATTTACAAATGTAAATATATTTATACAACATATAATTTGATTTTACCACCAGATTGTTCATGGCGTGTGTCATGTTACTTAGATAACATACCTACTATTGTTTTCAGCGCAATAAAATCAAATATAAAAGTTAATCCTTGACTTTTCAATAATCTCGCCTTTAAAACATAATAAAAGTCTCAATAAGAAAATCATTTAAAAAACAATTATTGGGGTAGAGGTTTGCCCCTATTATCTAGGTGTATTTATTTATTTATTTATTAGCATACAAAACAGATTACAGTCAATATAATAATATAACTAGGAGCGTGTAGTTCAGTACAAAACTGGATTGTAATCCAACACTATGTATGCCTAAGAGCTAAATTATATAGACGCATTCAATATACGCTAGATAGCTAGATAAGGTTATATAATAAAAAGTAAAATAAATAGAAAATGATATATAACTACGTATTACTATATACTATAACTACGAATTTTATTTATATTAAAGAAAAGAAAATTGGTACAATGTTAAATATAAGTATGTGTAAGTGTACGTATGTATCAGGTGGAATAGTCCCGAAGGATTCCAGAAGAGGCTTGATTCCTGAATTCGCCATGATGGGCTTACTGAGCTGACCTCATCCCCCACTGGACCCCCATCAAACTGTACCGTCAACATTGAAAAAACTACGATCAATTTTCAAACTAAAAATAAATTATTGGGGTAGGGGGTTGGCTGTTAGTAATAGAGATGGGTGCCTCTATCTTATGTATAAGGTGGAACACTCCTGAAGGTTTCCAGGAAAAGCTTGGTTAATTCCTGAATTACCCATAATGGGCTTACTGAGCTGACCTCTATCCCCCACTGGTTCCCCGTCAAATTTTCAAATTCAAATTCAAAAATCATTTATTCATGTAGGACATTTTAGCCGCTTATGAACGTCAAATTTTTACATTATAATTTTATTTTTTCAGTTCGGTATATAGATCCAATTGAGAAGAACTGGCAAGAAACTCAATTGAATTACTTTTTTTTTAAAGCCAGTTTATTTACAATGTATTTTTATATAGGTGTATATGTCTAACATTAAATGAAAATTCAGTTCATGAAAGTATTCAGTTAACATTGAATACACGATCAATTTTCAAACATTAAAACATAAGTTATAGTAATATCATATTCCAGCTGATCTATGACCAATATATGTGTAACAGCTTAAAATATCGAGAGCTTATATATGATACTGTTGGATAGATCTTACTAAAATTAAAAACGCGAAACTTTGTTAGTATGGATAGATAGACGGATGGATGGATGTTTGTTACTATTTCACGCAAAAACTACTAAACAGATTTTTATTAAACTTTACAGTAATATAGCTTATACATCAGAATAACACATAAGCTATAAATTTCATTTAGCACAGCTAGTAGACAGATAAAATCTTTATTCGTATCAACTGAGACACATTTCATATACAAATAGGTACAAGAATATTACAAAAAATTATAAACGCAAAGCAAAGGACAACATAAACAAATATGTGCCTTAATTATTTGCTTGTTAGGTCTATAATTGCTGACCATGTATACAAAACGTTTCCACCAAAGATTGTAGAGTCAGCAGTAATATTACACTGGTGTGTTTCATGGTCGTTCAGACCATGAAACACTGTTTGCCATCCGGTCGCTGATTCAGCGTTTCAAATTTCACCGTGACACCGCGAATTAAGACAACGAGAGTTTTTTTTAACGAATGATAATGGAATGATAGTATAAATATTCAGCCAAACTTCTTTCGAGATATGATATTATATGAATATTTATTATATGTAGTTTAAATTTATATTTTATTTATATGTAATCCATAAACTTATATATTTTATATTGTATTATATATTATATATAAGTAAATCAATATTTATTTCAAAGAGCAACACACAAGTTTCCTGCTTATTCTTCTTGTGATTAATCTGCATTCCGAATAAGCGGTAGAATAAAAAAAACTTGTCTATTCAAAAGTGCTTATATTAAGTTTATTTGAATAAACATTATTTCTATTTCTATTGGTATATTAGTATTATAATTTAAATAATAGTATTATATATTTGCATATGTATATATATGTATTCTTTTTCTGTATCTATTTGTTATATATTTTTTTACTTTCAATTAATTATTAAACTGCACCGCCTTATTATCTCTGATCAACGCCACTGTTGCTGGTAGCTGATGGCATTCATCAGGCATTAAGTCCGCCATGTATACAAAAGAATAAATAAATAAATAAATGATGCCCTCGCCTGTGCGCATTAATATTACAATAAAGATATTTAGCCAAATAAAGATATTTGTATTTGTATAAATAAGCAAGTAAGTATTAACTGTAATTTAGTTAATTAAATTTATTAAGTGTATAAACATTTTCGGTTTTTTTCCCTCTAGCCTCAGATTGCCACACACGCAATTTCTTACATAACAATAATTATCCTGTTTACATAATATGTATATCATATCTACATGTGTATTTGGACATGTTACTTAACCATACTTAAATACTTATATATGGGTAAAACCACAGGATACAAGTAGGCTATATTGACTCATCAGTCTATTCAGTCACTGTATTACATATATTCATCCTAAACTTAAATAATTGATTTCCTTGGTAGTCTAGCAGTTTAGCACACTGCCTTACCTTCAAATATCATGGGTTCAATTCCTCGCATGGTACAAACATTTGTATTCATGAGTATGATTGTTTGTATTGGTTTTCTATGTATATTATGTATGCTTTTGCAAAAAATATATATTCTTGTATTCTTCATCTTCTTTCGTTTCAATGGCAACTAAATACATATATCTAAATATATTTCTGTATTAGAATCACACAAGCTCTGGTTTTTTTTTTGTATATGATAATGAAATGGTGCACCCGCCTGCGCTAACAGATAGTTAGCTTGTGACTAGTAATAAATCTGATTGTAGCCATAAGTTTAATGGTATATAGGAAGATAATAAAAATAAAAAAAGGTTGGGGTTCAATGGTGATGTGCAAATTGCACAAAACATGTGCTTCCTAGCACATGTTTTGTGCATCAAACTCACAATCATCCAATGTATACGAAATCACTACCACCTAGGCATAGGGCCTAGGTGGTAGTGATTTAGTATACTAGTCTAATTTCTAAAAAGTGAATAAACAATTAATCTATCTAAAATCAAAATATCAATTACTGACCTTTATGAAATAGAAATAGAAATATAGAAATAGAAATAATCTTTATTCAAATAAACTCATTACAAGCACTTTTGAATAGTCATATTTTGATTCTACCACTCATTCGGAATGCAGATTCATCACAAGAAGAATGAGCAAGAAACTTGTGTGTTGCTCTTTTTAATAGATGTTTTTTTTTTTTATATAAATAATTACAGTATAACAAGTAAGAGGCATGCGATAATCAACATAGAAGTCGCTACGCACTCATTATTAATGTAATCAGATAATATTGTCAGTGCTATGGATTTAAAGTTTTTTTTATAAAAACATTATTATCGTTAACGAATTCTTCTATTTTATAGTAAGCTTTTTTGCAAAGGAACTGTTTTATTTGACATTTAAATCTTTTTTCTGGCAGATTTATCTCTAGACTCTGGTATTTTATTGTAAAACCTTACGCAATTGCCATAAAACGAATTACTAACTTTAGCCAAACGACATTTAGGTAAAATCAGTTTGTTATTGTTACGTAAGCTTTTATTAGTGCAATCACTAACTCTTTTGAAACTGTCTATATTTCTTCTGGCATAGATGATATTTTCATAAATGTATTGAGAAGCAACGGTGAGGATATTTGATTCCTTAAAACACTCTCGCAATGACAAATATATCCTCATAAATTAATACAATAAATATTATAGAAACATATTTACCTTGCATTTCTGGTAATGTCTATGTAATTTTGTAATATAGTGTTTGTTTTATGTGAATGGAATGCAAGTCCACCTACAACTGCTCTGTTGAGGGCCTCATCGCCCACCAGTCGTACTTCCGCCTGAAAATGATATTTCATTTGTCACAAAGATGTTCTTTTATAGAATCTAAAATATAAATTGGACTCTATTCTTCTATTCTCCGCATTTATCCTCTAGGCCTGGTCAGTTGTGCATGTAGTGTCGAGACTACTAAAGTAGCCATGGTAGAGTAAGAGAAAAAATATTAATACAATAAAATTTAAGGTCATAAGCGGCCAAAATGTCCTACATGAGTAAATTATATCTGATTTCATTTCATTTAACTAAGCTCCTCCTAGACTCACAGAAATTGTCCTACATGAATAAATTATTTTTGATTTCATTTAGCCAAGCTCCTCCTGGAACCACAGAAGTCTCCTGGTGTGTTATAGGCTTCACAGAGTGATCTCATCATATTATAGAAACTATCAGAACCTGACAAGTTCTTACCTGTGCTAGTAGGAACAATAACGATTTATGACTCTTGTTTGTAAAATAAAAAAAACTTAAGTGAAGCTTATCACAATACACTGCACTGATCCAAAATCTGTTAAGCTTTTTCAGAGATTAATGAACCCACATTGAATTTGTTGATTTCAAAAGTTTTAATAAATAGTGCCCGTCTGTTTGATTGCCATCACATTACATCAATAGGAACTGGATATCTATAGGACTTTTTTAGACATAACACAATAGGGTGAAGATTCTTTCTTCATTAAATATCCATATTTTCTTTGATGGATAGTGACCAGATCAGATTTTAAATAATAATTTCAATTTTACATGATTCACTTACATTATCGTTACTAGCCAAAGATAGTAATGTAGGAATAGCTGTGTGTAATAAGTTTGCATAGTGCTTTGCAAAATTGGGGCGACTTCCTAAGGCTCCCAGACATCGACCCAACGTACCAGCCGCCGTCTGCAACTCATGGCTCCTGCAAAAAACACAATATTATGGTTTGTGCGTTATTTACGCATTTAATCACTGATTCTGAAAATTACTTTGTAGATCCATCGTTGGTCTTCAAATATTCCAAGGCTTTCTCTGCTTTTTCCAACAAATTCATGGCCTCTTCTTGATTAGCTGACGATTACAGCTGATAATTCTGCCATTATTACCGTAACTTGATAATGTATTTTTAAAATATGTTTCAAGTAAAAGGACTATTCGATCAAAATTATGAATTATTACGCGTAAAATAAAAAACCAGCATTTATTTTGCCGTTTCACATATGTAATACTTAAAGTACTGTTTGTTTGTGTTGTAAACGTAATGAAATATTTTGGAAATATTGAAACCAAATCAATGAATTCATTATTTACTTCTAAATTTCATTCATTCAGTCATAACGACCCACAGATTAGAAAAATCACAGAGAGCAGTTACGTCAGTCGTAACGTCACTTAATTATGTCGACAGCTCGAATGACAGCATTCAGATGATTGGATCTTTGGAAGGCTGTATGGGTACTGGTCCCTTTGCTTTTGTTTTGAAGGATAAACAAAACTAAAAAAAATTGTATCTTTGGTACTGTTTTTACATATATTTTTAGAATGAATCTTGACTTGAATCTTTTTAGATGTGAATGTCAAAAACTTTTTCTATGTCAATTCATAATTTTGTTTTGACATAAATGTATAATTTTAAGTGTTTTCGTTAACTATAAATTATAAATATGTCTTTGGAAAGTGATCAAGAAATCGACGTCATGTTTGGTTTAAAGACTGTGTTAACAAAAATCGAAGCCGCTGTTAGCCGAAGAAGCAAAGTAAGTTGTACTATTATGAATTAATGACTGTCTGTATCTAACTCCTGATAACATTATCTGTATTTTGATAACTAAGTATTTGTTTACTCTCCTATTGCTTATCATTATTAAGAAGTTAAAATAATGAATGTCATCATGTTGATGAAATCTTGACCTCTCCAATGTATTTGTGCTGATTCCAAAAAAAAAATGCTAGCTTAATTCAATTAGTATTAATTTTCATTTCCTCTATAGTCTAGATCTAGAAGTTAATATTATTTTCCTATTTATTTACTTATACATAGTATTATATTTGGGTTTCTTAATAAAAAGCATCATGAAATATTTGATTGCATTTTTTTTTAAATTATATATTTAATAAGTACTTTAAATATATGTCATATGAAAAATACAAATGTTTCACGTAAGTAATATATTGAAATAACATCAACTAAAAATATAAAACAGATACAACCTATATTTCAGGATCTTCCTCAAATTGCTCCAAAATTGGTGGCCGTATCAAAAATAAAACCTGCATCATTGATAATACAAACTTATGAAGCTGGCCAGCGAGATTTTGGTGAGAACTATGTAAATGAACTTGCGGAGAAAGCAAGTGATCCAACTGTACTGGAGAAATGCAAAGACATCAGATGGCATTTCATTGGACACTTGCAGACGAATAAAATTAACAAGTTGTTGAGTTCACCCGGCCTGCATATGGTACAAACTGTTGACTCTGAGAAACTGGCTGAAAATTTAAACAAACAATGGCTGAAATACAGAAAGGATGAAGAGAAATTAAAAGTTATGGTGCAGATCAATACAAGCAATGAAGAAGGTAGCTTTGATTATACATATCAATAAAATTGGAGTGTCTGTTTGTAATATTGAAATAACCATTTTTTACAACATGCATATGAATATAAACATGGTACATACACCAATATAATATTTTTTACAATTTTTGTCTGTCTGTCAGTTTGTTCCGGCTAATCTCTGAAATGGCTGGGCTGATTTTGACGGGACTTTTTTTGGCAGGTAGCTGATGTAATTAGTAGAGTAACTTAGGCTACATTTATTTTAGAAAAAATCTTTTATTTTAGAAATAAAAATTTTAAATCAGCAGCGGAACAGCTAGTATTATAATAAGTTTATTATCATTTTTAAATATTGGAAATGTGATAGTTTCATTGTTATACTTTTAGTGCCATAACTTATTGTATTTCTCTGTACCTATTTGGCATGGAGAAATGCAATAAACTTTTTTATTCCACAGCTAATGCTACTGATATAATTTAATTTACTCAATATGCTTTAATATCTGGACAGATTCAGATGTTTGTTCAAGTAACTTTATGATAATATTATTTATAAAATTTTTTTGACATTTGGTAATCTAAATTTTAACATAAGAAAGAGGATATATTTACATTTATGTGCACAAAGTATATTCCATTGATTTAGGCTTTTACATTATTTTATGGGATCTATAATAGAATTGTTAATTATTCTTTTTCAGCAAAGAATGGGATCCAACCAACAGACACAACAAAATTTGTTGAATTTGTTTTAAATAGCTGCCCTAATTTGCAATTCCGAGGCCTAATGACAATTGGTCAATATGATTATGATGTCTCAAAAGGACCTAATCCAGATTTCCTAACACTGGCTAAATGTAGACAGGAGATATGTGAAAATCTAAATTTGGACATAAACAATGTAGAATTGTCTATGGGTATGTCGAGTGACTTTGAACATGCTGTGAGTAATAACCTTTACATTTCACTTCTTTTTAAGACGCTATTTTTATTATATTATGTTATTTTTCTTTCTTTATTTTGGCAACAAACAGTCATTATATATATATAGAAATAAACATATTTTTACAATAGATATTGAGTGCAGACATTTAAGCTAAATTTCGTGTTTTGCTTATTCACTTATCTATAAGACTTACACTTATTATTTCAGTCACATGAAAAAATTTAAACTAATAATAATAACCCCAGACAATTTACACAGCACCATCTAGTCGCAAGCTAAGCTGAGTTAGTGTTATAGGTACTAGGCAACTGATAAAAATAGTTAAATATATTTGTTTTTGTATATACATACATATCAAACATAGAAAACATTTTATCAATAATCATTCATACAAGTGTAAATGTTTATACCATGCAAGGAATCAAACACAGGAATATTGATAATAAAGACCTGGGTGTCTTTATTTCTAACATTTGAGGACAGCAAATGATCAAACATAATACTGAACTTATAATTAAAGTCAACACAATTTTAGTTTATTATAATTATTACATAATAAAAACATCTTCTAAAATATATGTTACATTCAGAGAAAGTAATATTATTACTTGAAAATACCAATAATATAAAACTAAATAATTATTAATTTTGTTTCAGATTGAATTAGGGGCAACTACAGTTCGAGTTGGTTCAGTTATTTTTGGTGCTAGGCCACCAAAAAATACATAAAGACCTTTTTTTAAACTGTCGTGTTTAATATACATTATTTATATTATTAACCGGGTCTTAACACAAATAATTTTATGGCAAATAAACGTATTTACCTCTCTCGACGTTTCGATGAAACGAGAGGTAAATACCTTTATTTTAATAATATAAATAATATACATTAAGTATCTGTTATATCTAGACACGCGGGAGCGTGTCAAAGCCAAGTTTAAGTAAGAGAACTGGCGAGCAGCACCGTGTGTAGTATTACACGAACCATTTGGAGCCACTTTTGACCCCCTCATAACTCAAAAACTCTTTCACATAAACCTGTCAAATTTGGTTAATAGATTTACATAAATACTTAAGCGTAGGTTTAAGTATACCTAATAGAAAAAAATATTGTAGAATATTTTGGGGACAATAAAGTTGTTATGAATTAATTTGTTATTTGTTTCTGAGAAACGTTTAAAAATTTTAAATACTGATATATAATGACGTGCTAATATTAAATACTTCGAATTCTGTGTCATTTTTAAAACCAAAGATTGGTAGAATGACATTTAACTTCATTCATTCATTCATTTATATTACTTGATGGACTCTAACAGACTTTCCATTAAATCATTTTAATTTTTATCGTTGTGTACCAATAGATGGCATTACTGGTATATCGTATAGCAAACGCCCTAAAACCACCACTAAATAGCCAGCCGCATAATATGAATAACTATACCCAGGGCCACACCGCCCCTATGCGTGAAGTGTGCGGCGCTCACAGGCGCCAAGGCGATAGGGGCGCCGCGCGCCACCATACAATTTTTTTTAGTTGAAGCCAACAAAAGTAGCAAAAACTATTTCAGACCATATGCCATCTATTAAAGCATAAACTATAGCAAATAGCAACACCAACTTTTAGGATAGGTTTCGCACACAGGCGCTGTATGGGGTCGGCGCGCCCCTGCCTATACGTATTGATTGTTTCGTTATGTCTATCAAGCGAGATATGTTGTAACTTATAAACCTAAAATTGGGTATAATAGTAAGTAACTTTCTAATAAATCATAAGAAAAATTTTGGTCAGCTAAAGTTCAACAAATATAAATTCCCCACGCGTTAGAACCTAAGTGATCTAGGATAAGGCGGTTTCAGAGGTCATATATATAATACATACACATACACCAAAATAACATTTTTTAACAATTTTTTGTCTGCCTGTTTATTTGTTCCGGCTAATTTCTGAAATGGCTAGACTGATTTTGATGGGACTTTTTTTGGCATGTAGCTGATGTAATAAGATGTAACTTAGGCTACTTTTATTTTAGAAAAATAAAGTTTCATACCACGCGGACGAAGTCGTGTGTACAGCTAGTATTAAATAAATTCGTTTCAATGAGCAAGTAATCCTTATATGAACAGTGGGCTAATTATGTAACACGATATGAAATTGTTTCTGTTGAAGTTGTGATGCAATATGAAATCATTTCAATTTAAAAAATGCGATCAAGTAAGGTCGAATGACCGCAACATAAATCATTTCTATCGATAAAACACTACTATGAAGTTGCAGCGGAATATTGTTAATCCGACCAATTTAAAAAGTCAGTACATTAGATAGCTTATACCTTTAGAGGGATACATTTTAATTTATTGGGTTGTTACACTAGTTGGTTGATTTGAAACAATTTTTATTGCATTCAAAAATTACAAAATATACTGCAGCGTTCACTTGTTCTTTTATTTTAATTTTATTAATAGACATTTAATAAAATAAAATAAAGAAAGTCTATTCTATTCTAATGAAAAAATACGGTTAATAATTTTGAATATAAAAGCATATTTTATACAAACTATTTATAATCATTAATAATATTAATCTAACCTACAAATTAAATTTTCTTTTCTGCTATAGATACCTAGGTAAGTACGTAGGTATCCATATAAATTTAAAATGATATGGGCACATCTTTTTAAATTTGTACATAATTGTAAAAACTTTAAACAAATAAATTTATTTACTTTAAACAAATCACAGAGCATCATAAACGTTGTATTCCGTTCACAGAGCACCGTATTCATTGAAATAGTTTTTTAATTATATTAATATCATAATCAACCCTAATTTTATATTAAACATTTACTCTAGTTAATACAACATTCTATGTGATTTGGGACGAAAATAAAATATCGAATTGGCAACACTGATGTCGTGTTGTGAGTCGTGACAATTTTCCCATTTTAATAAATTTAAAACCTTTTTACGACTTTCTACGTAATATTTAATATAATAAAAATATATGTAATACTGAAAATTACCAAAACAAGATAAATAATGCTGCTAATGCTGATATTTTAAAGATTGTAACCAAAAGAAACACCTTCTAAATTGTTTCTCATAATGTAAAAACCGTTTCAATTCCACGCTGTCATTTCGGCAAAATAGCGATTACGTGACGTTGCAACGAGGTTACTAAATCGACATTCGATAGAAATAATTTTTATTGATATGTAAAGTTGCGTTTACGTTGCAATGCTAGTTGACAGCGTCAAATGGCGTCTATATGATCGCATTATTGACAGATGACGTCATTTTCACTACGTTACATACGAAAATCGTTGCGAACGAAGTTACATAATTAGCCCACAGATAAATGATTGACTTTCAAGTATGCCGGGTATAGTAACCCTAGTATCATTCATTCGATTTTCAACCATCGCTTTTGTCAGTAAATTCAACTCATTCAATTCAATTTATTCATTCACTTACTCAGTTGAATTAGATTTCTCGTATAGTGTAGTATTGAGTTTTGTTTTTTTCTAATAAATATTCGAAAATAGTGCATGTTACTTATTTACAAGTAATTTATTTATGAACCTTTTTAATACCCCGTTCTTTATTAGCATTAATGGTTAACAAATTGAACGTGTCACAGACGTGGTCTATATTATTTGTATGTATGCAGTGAACAAGTTTATAAAGTTTTGTGCACCTCGTCATCAGAATTATTGAAAGTTTTCTATGACCTTCAAAATGCAGGTAAGGATAACAACTTTTAATTTGAACATTAAGGATACGAAATTAGAGTTTTTATCTGAGTTATTTAGCGTACGAATCCTACTGTACTACCTGTTCTCTAGTTACCTATGCCACATAATCACTACAATTGCCTAACCACAAACTGGGTTTTATAAACAGGTTAAAAAATATCCAACGGCACATTTATTACTACGTTTGTAATATTTACTAAACAATGTTTATCTAACCAACTAAAATAAAACATACTTATTGCAAGAATCCGTCTTAGTCTGTTAGTATTTGACAAATTTTACAACAACAACAACAGAAAGTGTTGATAATTCAAATTTGGAATTAGATAGTTATAACTTTTTAAATAAACTGGTGAATAATAATTGAATTAATTTTAATATTGAGTTATTTTTTCTTTTTAATTTTATATTCAGGCCTATAGTAGCTTAACATAAATTATTATTCCTTCTGTATGTTTTATATTTGTTTGACCAGAGACATTCCATGTGTTCTTTTGAAATTAGGCACTTTATGAACTATCAATTGTTAAAAAGATAAATAAAATTACTGTATGTGTATTTAGTTAAGATATTTTAGGAGAACTTTACTTTGTTTTAATCCTGAAATACTATACATTTAGAATTATTAATATTTAAAAGGAGAAGTCCTATGTTCAATCTTCTTTGTACTATGTATACCTGTATTCTATTGCATTACATTGCATGCTGTTAAGTCCTATAGCTGAAGAACCATGCAAACTTGTAGAAATGTAGGTGTAACTTTTTATATATATAAATTTCATAATTATTATGTTTAAATAGTATTGCCCATGCTATTTAAACACAATAATTATGAAATTGTGTCATCAATTCTTGGTAGAACTGCTTAAATAAATAAAAAAGTTAATATTATCTTTGTAAGTCGGTAAAAAAAATTTGTTGCCAGACTCACAGGTCAAACTCTAAATTAAACTGTATGTACTTGTAATGTTGACAAACCTGTTGAACGCTTACATACAAATTTGACAGTCTTGGTGGTCTAGGTGTATAGGTTTGATTCCTTGCAGGATGCAAACATTTGTAATCATGATTATGATTGTTTGTATCATATGGGGTGTTTTCTATGTATATTATGTACATATTTACAATGCATATATAACTAAGTATATATATAGCATAAAGTAGTTTCAGTTGTCTAGTACCCATAACACAACATTTACCTAACTTTAGACTAGATAGTGGTGTGTTTAATATTGACCTAAATGAACTAAAAACCTCAAACCTCAATAAAAAAAATAGACAACACTAAATCACTCACTAAAGCTGTAGAAAGTGAATGTTAAACATGCGGGTTACATTATATAGGCAGTAAACACTAAGGTTTTAATGATAATAATGTTATACTAGAAGTTTGGTAATATGTGAAAATGGGTAAAATTTCATGTAGGTATAGTCCAACTAATGTAATTTAACATAAATAAAAACAAATACAATATAGAAGAACTGTAATGTTATAGTTTTGCTCGGCATTACATTCCTATGGTCACAAGTTCAATCCTACTATGACTTAATAATTATAATGTTACAGTCCTATGAATTAACATCATTTCCTTCCCCATATAACACATGTTCTGTTACATCATATAGAATAGAATAGAAAATTCTAAATTGAAATAAACCTAACATTTCTTAAACACATTTGAATAGTCATACTTACTTACTGTACATTCAGAAAGCTGTCTCATCATATTGGAACCATTAGGAATTACATCATGTCTGTATGTAATTCCAAACTATCAGCTTTTTATTAAATGCATATGCATGATATACGTTTCTTTTATTGTTATTATTTATTATTAAGTAAACATCGAAAAAAAGGTTTGTCTGTTTGTTTGTTCTTGCTAATATCTGTAACTATAACGGTTGGACCGATTTTTACGGGACTCTCTCGCAGTTACTATTACGTTACTTTTATTTTAGAAATCTTTATGTATTTTCATTCCATACCGACGAAGTCAAGGGTAACAGTTAGTCCTTTGAATGAAACCAACTGAAATAATCACTGCATTACTCTCTCATACACTCTTTTTTTATTATTTAGTCGTTCTTGCGCATTACATACATACACTCAAACAAAATCATGAAGTTCTAATAAATTTCAAATGAAAATAAGAGCAATACTAAATTACTAACTTTCCACAATACTAGGCCAATTAACACTACGCCGGAGCCGTAATAGAACGCTAAAGTGACCCCATGATTCTGCCCATGGTGCCTCGAGTTTCACTATGTTGTTCTGGTAGGTTGTAAATAGTCTATGACAATAGAACTTTAATAATATTTAAATTTATGATTTAAATTAATTTCCAAAAAACAGCAATATTCATAATATGAATACTAGATTTAAAGATAAACTTGCTGTTTCTAATTATCGTTTGGAAAAAGTCAATGGGTCTTTTATGGGAATGGGTTTAAAAATTTACAGTAAGAAGGATATACTGGAATTACCATTAAATAAATTCAAAACATCTGCTAAATATATTACTTAAATGACGAGTGTGCGTGGCAGTAGTTGTTCATGCACGGGAATTTCATTTAATGTTAGGCATAAACACCTACATAAATACACAATGTAAATAAACAATCTTTAAAAAATAAAAGAAATTAAGTTTAGTTTCTTGCCAGTTCTTCTTAATTCAATTTACTGAACTGGACAGTAGGGAAAAAAATTATAATACAAAAAAAAAACTTTTATAAGCGGCTAAATAGTCCTACATGAATAAATTATATTTCATTTTCATTTTGGTCGATTTTCGACCACTAGACGAACATTAGTTTTTTTTAATCCTAAAAATAGATTAGGTTACAGAAACACTGTTATTTGTAAACATAATCGTGTTTATAAAATTGTATATATTAAAAACGCGTTTTATTTCCGATGTAACCCTGATATTGGAAAAAGAAACCAAATCTTCAATTACGTTATACTTATTAATTGTGAGAATAGTGCATGACGGGTATTACAACTACCTCTGAGATATTACAGAGATTACAGGATAAGGCGTCATAACGCCTTACCCTGTAATTTCACTGCCTTATCCTTCCCTTTCAATCGAAACTACTTAATAAAGCAGCTTCAATAATCATCTATTTCGGGGGAAAGTGTATTGTTAGTAATGTGGACTGATGACCCCATTGCTACCATATCAGGTAGAGCTCCACGAGGTTCCTCCTTGAAACCATCATCGTTAATTACCACGATGACAAGATGCAACCTTGAAACCTTCATCGTAAATTACCACGATGCAAGCATGAGCACGATGTTAGATGTTAAGATGTTACGATGTTAAGATGAGCATGAGGTCAGGTCATAAATGACTGACCTCACCTGACCTCATGCTCATCTTAACATCCTCTACCGGTGCCCGCCAGCGTAAACAGGTAGCGCAGACAGGTGAAACTAACCATTATCATCTATAAAAAAAATCATCTATATCACCTGCCATATAGGTACTTAAGCAAATGACTTTGTATAAAGTCTAGTTTGGTAACTATCATCGTGCTAAGAGCAATAATATATACTAGTGATGATGATGACCCAATTGCTAGCAATGTACAATATCTGGTTGACCTCCCCGCGGTACCATCTTGAGACCATCGTGATAAATTTCTGGTAAATGGGCTATCGGACCTGACCTCATGCTCATCATATCATCCTCCACTAGTGTCTTTAACTTATCATTACCATATACCATTATCATAAAAAAACCTCTTCGGCCAATAGTCTTTCTTCATAAAGGTGGGAAGTATGTTGGTGGGGACCTGGGCCACAAAAATAAAGCAGTCTTAGGTAAATAGATGCCGTGACTTATAAAGACCACAGATTGCCTCCCAACCAATCTACAGATGTAACATCACGTACAAAGTGTACTAATATAATTAGCAGAGTACGCATGAAAGTCGAGTATTGAACACACCCACTGTACTTGCATAAATGTGATGTGTTCATGTTTATTCACTTTCAAAATCTATGCCTATACGTAATAATAAGATTCAATTACATTTCAGTAAATAATAATAATAATAATAAAACTCTTTATTGTGCATAAAAGAAACAAATAATTACAAAAAGGAAAAAAAAAAGAAGGATATGCAAACAAAAGGCGGCCTTATCGCTTAAAGCAATCTCTTACAGACAACCTGGGAAAATTTAATTATGTTTCAATATTTTTTGTATTTTTTTTCTTTATTGTTAAATTAGTTGGAATGATAAAATAAGATATGAAGAAGTATTGCGAACGGTTAAAGGAAAGAGATCATAAATATTATTGAGAATAGACGTGAGAAAATGTGGGGCACTTGATACGACACAACGAACTTATGAATATTATTATAGAAGGAAAGACGAGAAGATTAAGACACGTCTATATTAAGCAGATTAAGAAAAAAGATGCAGTCGTGTCGTAACAACAACTAAAGCAATTGACGGAAAATAGTGGAAACTGGCAAAAGCTCCATCGATAGGACAGCGATTCTTACATTATGAATGAACTATTTATTGCACCAAATACAGAAAAAAACTAAATATATATTAAATTGACAGCATGTATATACGTACACACACGAACATATACATACACACAGCCACGCCTACATAATAAAAAAATTAGAAATCAATATGCTACTATAAATAATTTGGTAAAAAAGACTCCTAAAGAACAAAGAGATCAATTTCTCTATTTTCATAAACATTCTGTTGATATCAGATCTTTTAATCTATAATGCTGGTGAAAAGAGTGTTTGTGGACTGTGCGCTGTTGTTCCCATTGCCAGCAATGTACCATGTCAGATTGACCTCCACACGGTTCCCCTGGAAATCATCGTGGTTAATCAGAATGGGGAACCACACTGGTACCCCGCCAGTTTATACCGTTAGCGCAGGCGGGTGCACCATTCCATTATCATCGAATAAAATAATCGATATTACTATAGGAAAGAAAAAAACTATTA